GGAACCGCCATTACATGTTCCATGCTAGGAACTATGTACTATTAAACACACTACTAAATTGCTATAACTTTCAATAAACATAAAAACAAATTCTACAATTTTGATAAATTAAAGGACGTATTTGAAAATATTGATACAAGTAACATCATAAATATTAAAGGAATTTCGTTCTACAGGAAAACTAAAAAAACAAAACAAAACAAAAAAAAACAGCCTCTTTACTAAACCTGCTTACCTACATTGCTTGGCAATCAATTTTATACAATCTACAACCCCCACCAAAAAAAAGTTTTTCACTATAATCCACTGAACTGAAAAGAAAAATAACTCTAATTATTGACCCGAAAACCTTCTTCGGTATTAAGTGATCCACCAGGATTGATGTGCCGTTAAACTAATATTTAAATTAACCATATATCCTTTTATCCTTTGATCCTTTTTTGATATCCATTTACAAACAAAAGATAATTAACTTTTTCACTATTCCCTCTGGTTTCTCTCCTCTTCTCCATTTTTGTGAAGGTTAAATTCTCCAAGCACTCTCTCCTCATCGTGTGTCCCAGAACTTCTAGCTACAACTTCAAGGTTTAAAATATCAATTTCTTGTAGATACTGTTTCATTCCAAATGACCCTGTTTCTTACATGTTATGTCCATCTTATTTCCCAAATTTTCGGAAGAAGCAAATAGTTCCTGTAGGATCATTGTAGTTAAGCAACGTTGAGTCTGTTCAGTAATTATCTGGGTGACCGCTTGAAAATTTTAGTTCTTTTTCAGAATATGGATAATATTGTCTGAAAGCAAAAAAACTTTTTCGATGAGAAATGAATTTTTAAAAAAATTATTTGTTATTTTTTAAATTATTTTATTATGTTTACATTATTGTTGTTAAATATTATGAAATTAGTGGAAACGCTGTTCAGTTTAGTCAATGATCTTATTAGGTAGATCTGTCTTCTAGCATTATAGTTTGTATAGCTTATAACAATAAGAAAACCACACAGTATTAAAAAAAAAAATTCCAGGTAGCTCTTTTGTCCATGAAACAGTTGTAATTCAAATGTACGGAAGACCAACAAGAATACTATAAGAAATCACCTTATTTGACTTAAGCATTGTTTCCCTTTGGTACAGCTTTTATTTTTGAGAATTGTTCGTGCGAAAGCCGTGCAGAGAAGTTAATTTGATTTTTCAATTTCAAATGAGAAGGGTGCCTCAGGTATCATCTTATGAAATTTATATGATCTTTATATTATCTCACTTATATTTTTCCATGAATGAAACATGAAAATTAATAATAAAATAAGGTAAATACAAATAACAGACTAAAAAGTAATAAATGTACATAAAATCATAATATTTTATGTAGAATTCTGATAAGAGTTCATAAAAAATGTACCTATGAATGAATTAGATACCTTTCTTATGAAATTTGATCTCACTCTCAACAGTCTTATTTTAATATTTTTTATAATATATTTTCCATAAAGCATCGTAAACTTAAAGGTGAAGGCTAAGGCTAAAAAGAAAAAATAGAGCGCTGAAAGTTTTCCTTAAAATAACGAGGTAAATAAGTTGGGACATTTAAAACTAAATAATTATGTCACTTCTGTCCTTCGGTACGGTAACTTTCCTTTAGGTAAGCTGTCAATATGTGGTAAAATAGTCACTCATCTCCCATCAGTGACACCAAATGTTAAGACCTGCTTTGACTTATTTTTAAACTACATTTTTTCAGCGTAGAAAGTAAATAATGTTTGTTGCAAAATATTTTAAATAAACTTTCTAATTTTTAATTTTCTTTAAATGAATTTTGAAAAAAATATAATTAATTTCTAAAAGAATTAAACAAATATTCTATGTTTAAAACATTTTTTAAAAATAAGAGTAGGAAACGCTGGCCGTAATGAAATTGGAGAGGTACAATATATAGGGTTTAATTACCAAACAAAGGGTGCGTATTATGCTTGAGCAGAAGCATTTCCCAATACTTTCAGCACAATTCTAAGGGTGATAATTATGGATGAAAGCGTATTATACATGGGGAATTGTGGTAAATCAAGTAAGAATTGCACCAGAAGAAACAGAGGATCTCCAGTTGAAGGCAATTCAAATAACAGTTTTGATAGTGCGTTTGGTCTAGTATATACGGTGCATCCAAATCAACAGAAAAGTTTTTACTTAAGAATATTGTTACATGAAGTCCAAGGTCAAGTGTCTTTTGAGGACCTTCAGAGAGTTAAAGGAGATTGTTTACACGACTTACAGAGAAGCATGCGATAAAAGAGGACTGCTTAAGGATGATATTCAGTTGGATAAAACTCTCAGATGCTTCAGTGTTCCGTACTGAAAAAAAAGTATTAGATCTCTTTTTGCTATCCTTAGTAAAACCAGCGACACTGATTGATATTGAAAATCGATTGGGAGGAGATGAAGCTCCCAGAGGTGCAGGTAACCAATTAACAACAGAATATCTGAGAGAAACCTTATATAATCCAAGACAGATGAATACGTTCAAAACATATTGGAATGCTAAATGATGATAAAAAGTGACATATTACACCATCACTGGAACAGTCAGGTACGAGAAAAGTGTTATCTTTTCTAGATATTCCAGATGGAACTGAGAAACTTTTGTAACATCTTTGATACTGACCAAACTCAGAAATGAATGCAGAATTGCACTTGCTATGGCATCATCTGCAATTCTAATGCTGTATTGAAACATCCACGTGACATTTATAGGAATGAAAACCCAGTCTTCAGCATCAGCAAACTTCTGGGATGGATGAACATATAAGACAATTTCACATGATTGCTGAATGCACTACGATGCATAAGAGAACGTGGGAGCCTATTGATCAAATCTTACTAGATAGAATAGATAGTAACTGATGGGAGAAGTCACCATAGTTTTATGAGGAGATTTCGGGCCAATTCTTGCGGTTATAGTAAAAGCAACAAAACCTGATGAGATTCGAGCATGCTTGAAATCTTCCTGACTTTAACATCATGTCAAAACTATAAAACTGAAAACAAGCATTAGAGTAGTTCTGTTTAATGATCGAATGTCTGAAGAATTCTCCCCCAAAGATTATTAATCATTGGAGAAGAAGGAGCTCCTGTGGATAATGAGGGCTGCTTAAAGATTTAACTAAGAAGCATCTTCGTTCAGTCTTTCAATGACTTAATGACCAAAGTCTTCTACAAAATCAATGAACGTTATCAAAAACACAAGTGGTTAAGTGACAGTGCAATTTTCGTTTAAGAAAATATTACTGCGAACTCCATTTTTTCCTTTAAAATTTTGAAAATCCTCCTCAAAGAGTGTTATTCTTATAAGTCGATTGATACAATTATAGATCCATCAGAGGCAATGAATTGTCTAGTTGAGATTATCAACTCATTAGATCCACATGGATTACTATCACACAAAGTGGGTGCTCCAATAATGTTCATCATTTACATTATTCGGACTATTGTCTTCATCTTTGTCGCCATATTTATTATTATAACGTTTCGGCCGTTGTACGCTCCGGCCTTCTTCAGGTGGTCGGAATGTCGATTTGAAACCTTTATTTCGATCACTGGGGTAGACTGTTCTAGTGCCACGTGCCATGTTTAATGGATGTCAGTTATCAGTTATCTCCTGTTAATTTCCCCTCTCCAAGTTCTCCACTGCCTTAACCGGGTATTGAACTCACACTTTCGGTCCTGTCACTGGATCTAACTAACGCTTTTATCCACTGTGCCATGTGTCTTTGATGGTATTAAGAAATCTAGACCAACCAAAGCTCTGTAATAGAGT